ACCAAGATTGCTTGGAGAAGGACGTCTTCTCCGTGTGTCTTTCTCGACATCAAACAACAAGATTCGCTTCGGCACTGGCCCTTCGCTGTACAGAGTAGACCAGGAAGTCGTAAAATACCGGTATTTTACGACTAGACTGTACATCGCTGTACATCGATGAGCATGAACTCGGGTGCGTAGCCGCTATGACTGCACAAACTCGGGTTTTGGCGGCATTCAAAATGGTGGTCGACGCTTTTTGAATTTTGTATGGTCGTGGTGAGCCCTGAATGTAGAATTTGGTGACCAGCCTACCCTTCATAAACAGTGTGGACTCCAGTGCAATTTTAGGTGTAATCAGGTTGCGTTTGGTTGGTCACATTCCACAACGGGAATCACTGGGAATCATTCTTGCCCGTTTGTTTGGTCAAATACTTCCGCTAGGTTGGTCCCATTCCAGAATGGGAATCACTGATCATTCCAACTCGCATGCTGGAATGATCATTCTTATTCCGGAATCAAAAATGAAGATGGTTGGCACAAGCCAATCAATGTAGCAAGAGGTTCAATTGCCTCAAATCATGCACTCAGAAGTACCTTGCCTCTCTCAAGGAAACTAGAGTCGGGCAAAAGAGAAGAGAGCCGTGGTTCCACAACGACACCATGGAATTGTTATGTCAAGGGATTCCAAGTTGATTCTGGCGCGTTTGTTTGGTCAGGTGATTCTTCCGTTCCCATTCTAGAATGGTTTATCATTATTGTTATTGTTAATCGGATGTTGAGCCAATAATAAATGTAGAAAGGAAGAGGACATATGGATACGAGTTAAGAGTAACTCTCCATCACTGTAACCAGATGCTATATACAGTCAGAAAGTGCAACAATTAGGCACAAAGCGGACAAAGTACTGAGATATTCGACGTCCTGACACCTAGCTTCAACACATCTCCGTAGCGCTAACCGACAGCCTTCCAACTCGGAAGGTTCAAGGTTATGGAAAGACCAAAGAGGGGAAGGTAAGAGCAACGAAAACGAGCACAAGCTACAGTCCTAACGGAACAAAGAATGTCGATTGTTACTGGACGATGACGAGACCAGTAGGATACTTGAAAAAGCGGTCTAACTACAATTCGAAGTAGCAAAGCAGCACACAACCCAACTCGGGTGGCTCATAAAATAATATCAAAGATAAGTAAAGAAGGGGGAAGCATTGCGAAAACGAATTGTACAAGCCGAAAGCCAAACTCCTGCGGTACTCCTCATGCTTGACATTGTGATGGACTACAGTCCATTCAGAAAAAAATGAACTTCTAGCTTTTGGCCATAAATGGGTCAAACGTTGAGTTTTTTTAGAATTTTTTTCTGCAATCCCATATGGAATCCTCTTCCAATTATGTTTCTGAAGTTTTTTTGTCCAAAAAGCAAGCCATAGCAAGAATAGGATTTCGGCCAGGTTTTGCCCCAAAAGCACTGAATTGGGAAAAAACAACCAAAATCCAGGCCGTTTGACCCCGCCTGCAACAGTGCATTCTGCGGTTCGAACCCCAGTTCAGGCACCCTTTTTGGACCTTTTTCAAATTTCAAAGTTCGCAGCACTGCACTGTGTACGATGAAATCACGAAAAATCGCCAAATACGGGAGCTCGCCAGAGCCAGGACCCATCTTTTTATGAATGGACTGTAGTTGACTACAAAACGAGTTGTTTCACACGAGGTACGTTTCGCCGTATGGTTCGTGACGGTCCTACTGGTCTCGTCATCGTCCAGTAACAATCGACATTCTTTGTTCCGTTAGGACTGTAGCTTGTGCTCGTTTTCGTTGCTCTTACCTACCCCTCTTTGGTCTTTCCATAACCTTGAACCTTCCGAGTTGGAAGGCTGTCGGTTAGCGCTACGGAGATGTGTTGAAGCTAGGTGGCAGGACGTCGAATGTCTCAGTACTTTGTCAGCTTGGTGCCTAGTTGTTGCACTTTCTGACTGTATATAGTATCTGGTTACAGTGATGGAGAATTACTCTTAACTCGTATCCATATGTCCTCTTCCTTTCTACAATTAATATTTAACTCGGATGGTGAGCCAATTAAATTATTGTGAAAAGAAGAGGGACAATATGTTACGAGTTATGACTAACTGTCCACCACAGGGTCGTACGCAGGATCCGGAATGAGGGGGTGCTCCAACATTTCCCCAAAGAACCGAATAATGCACTATTTGTGTTCGTTTGATACATGGATGGTTGATATGTTGATGTTTACTTTTACTGTGCCATTTAACCGTGATTCAAGCATTTACCATGATTTACCAAGTCCAGGGAAAATGTAGGAACTTTTCTGTAGAATGGAGCAACCATGAAGCCTTGAAGTACCCAATCCCAAATATGCCCCTCCATATATTTGGAGGACAAAATGTACTTCTTCGGTAAGCTGTGTCCAAGAGTACACTACTCTTGCTTGATCATAATTATCACGAAACCATTTTCAATTTGACTAATGTACTTCGAAGTACTAGAACAACTTACAATACTTCACACATTGAATGGGGCGAGAAGGCAAAAGTACCATAACAACTTCTGGCAGGAGTCACAGAAAAAGCTCCCAGGAGTTTTTATACACTTGCTTCTGGAATGGAGAAATAGAACCATGTAATAGAGGAAGCAAGTGCAATGGATGGTGGTAGCTTCACAAACAGGATACTAGCAGAGGGCTGCCACATTACTGTTAGTAGAAATCAGAAGCAATGTCTGAGGTGTTCAATGTCAGGATGGCAAGGGGGCAGCTACCGCTTTAGAAGCCATAGCATGTTTAGGATTTCAAGGGCCTGAAACAACAGATTAGCACACTTTCGTGAGAAATCGCTTTCAGTCGGTTTGTCGGAACAACTGATCGGAGTGTTCCCGGAAAATCGGAATAGAATAAGTTGAGGCCCCTGTCAATATGGATAACCCTCTCACGGTCCTGCCACATTCACAGTACATGTAACATGGTGAGCTATGATCAACTAGTGACGACAGCGAGTGGAAAGCAAAACATCAGTTAGAAAAATCTGATAATTGTGCCACGAAAAATCACGTTCAAAAGTCTGATTTATGAACATCCCCATTTCACAATGAAGTTTACTAAATATCAAATTCAATCACATCTTAATGTATAGCCTCACTTAAGACCTTTCCAATGGGCCGTCATTTGCGTGAATCGGACAATCAGTTGTAAAGTTATGGTAGTTTTAGCGGCATGGGTACAGCAAGTTGACCTACATGTACATGTAGGTGGAACATTTTGAGGGGGGTGCTTAAGCACCCAAAGCACCCCTCTCCCCCCCCCCCCCGCCCTGGGTACGCCACTGCACCAACGTAACCAGATCTTATAAAATCAGCAAGTGCGACAAAATGGCACAAAACTGACAAGGGGTGCTGAGACATTCCGCGACCTGACACCTAGCTCCAACACTTCTCCAAGGCGCAAACCAACAACCTTCCAATTTGGAAGGCTCAGGTTCCGTAAGGTCCAAGAGGGGAAGGAAAGCGCAACGAAGAAGAGCACGTGCTACGCATCACGGCAACAAAGAATGCCGAAAGTTACTGGATGATGACGAAACTAGTAAGACTATTGGGCATACCGGCCTTACTACAACTCGACGACGCAAAGCAACAGATCACCCAACTTGGGAGGCTCCTGTTTATGTAATAAACGTAGAACGGGGAACTCAGCGAAGACGAATTGCGACAAACCAAAACGTCAACATCCTACTGAACTCCACTATCATGTATGATGGACTAGTTATGTACAATAACAAGTAGTTCCACACAACGTACGTTTCGCCGTATAGGTCATGACGGCTTATCAGGTGTGCAATATTTAACTCGGATGGTGAGCCAATTAAATTATTGTGAAAAGAAGAATGACAAAATGTTACGAGTTATGACTAACTGTCCACCAACGTAACCAGATCTTATACAGTCAGCAAGTGCGACAAAATGGCACAAAACTGACAAGGAGTACTGAGACATTCGCAGAACTGCCACTTGCTCCGATTTTTCGGAAATCGTCCGATTTTTGATCACCTGTCGGACAAACCGACCGATTTTGTTCCCAAAGGGGGACAACCGATTATTTTATTTTGAGCGCTTTTTAGTCCAGTTGGCCATCCGGCGCTTCCAGGTCGCGTTTGTCCAGTCATTGTACATGTACACGTAGCAGTAAAATGCACGCGTGCTTGCATGTGTATGGACAGTTAAAATGTGTTCTGTGGCCCCAACAGCAAGCCATTTTCCTGAAATATTTCAACGGGGGACACCCCGGACCCCCGTCAGATTTTTCTCCCTCCAAGTGTGGCAGCCCTGCATTCGGCGACCTGACACCTGCATACCTGCCAAGTATCCAGATTTTTTCGGGATTATCCCGCAGTTTTGGATGAACTCCCGCAATCCCGAAATTCCTGTCGATTATCCCGAAATTCACTGTACAAGAAACAAGCTTGATATTGTACTTGGAGCACTTCAAATGACTTGTCACAGGCCAGTAATTGTCCTTATCGATCCCGGACCGCCATAGCCTGCAGTACCAGTGGATCTCCTAGTGCTCCTTCCATGAGCAGTCTCTGAAAAACCTCCGTTTTTGTGTCTTGAACATGACTGTGTAAGTGTGATCCGATGATCACCATCAATCATCTATTATCGAAATGTTGGTGCCATCAAAAAATAAAAAAGGATTTTTTTGGTAAAAATATGACATATTCCGAAAAAGCAAGGCAAATCCCGGGATTTTGCCATGGCGATCCAGAAAAAGCACTCTGAGTACTTGGCAGGCATGCACCTAGCTCCAACACTTCTCCAAGGCGCAAACCAACAACCTTCCAACTTGGAAGGATCAGGTTCGGAAAGGTCCAAGAGGGGAAGGAAAGCGCAACGAAGAAGAGAACGTGCTACGCATCACGGCAACAAAAGAATGCCGAAAGTTACTGGATGATGACGAAACTAGTGAGACTATTGGACATACCGGCCTTACTACAACTCGACGACGCAAAGCAACAGACCACCCAACTTGGGAGGCTCAAGTTTATGCAATAAACGTAGAAAGGGGAAGCTAAGCGAAGACGAATTGTGACAAAGTCAACATCCTACTGAACTCCACTATCATGTATGATGGACTAGTTATGTACAATAACAAGTAGTTCCAAACGACATACGTTTCGCCGTATAGGTCATGACGGCTCATCAGGTGTGCAATATTCAGCTCGGATGGTGAGCCAATTAAATTATTGTGAAAAGAAGAAGGACAAAATGTTACGAGTTATGACTAACTGTCCACCAACGTAACCAGATCTTAAACAGTCAGCGAGTGCAACAAAATGGCACAAAACTGAGATCATTAATTTTATATCTCAGACTTGCTGCAAAACACTCATGCCAATGACGACTATTTGCTCAGGTGACGGTAGGTCAGACACAGAGCTATTGAAGTCCTGGCCGGCCGCCTGCCATTCGGCGAACGTGAACGTCTTCTTGCCGCACTGCACACGGAAGTTTGCCTGGGGTGAGTAGTGACGGTTGTTCCTTGTTTGGAAGACGTGCTGTGCGAGGGTTTGCGGGTCACATTTGTACAGCGTGTAGAAGACACCATCGGGCGTGAAGCACTGGTTACCAATGTAGTACTGATCGGCAAACTCACCGTTATCATCACACTGACAGGCACGTTTGCCAGCCGAACGAGCGGGTATTCCCGGATAGACGATGACATTGCCCGGTCCGGTCATCTTGTCGTGCCCTAGGTATGCCTTCACTCCGCCAAACACCATAAAGTTACCACTGTTGTTGTAGTACGCCGACCCGTCATCGTGGTCAATAGACCAGCGGCCTGCGTAACCATTGATGATGAAGTTCTGCGTGATGTGATTCGGCGCTGGCACGATACTTGGCGGCCCATCGGTACACTGTGCTGGCGTGATGTAGGGTTGTCTATCCCAGCTGTTAAACATCCCATGGTCATCGGTCTCACGCACCATGTTAAAGATCAGGTTTCCGCGCAGGAGAGTGTCACCGCCAAAGCCATCGTTGAAGTTGATACCAGCACGGGGACCGTTATAACAGACATTGTCTACGAACATGTTCCCGCAGGCTAACGCCTGGAAGTAGCAGGAGACTTGCTTGCCGTACATACCGAAATCGTGGATGTGATTGTTGCTGATGAGATTACGGGCCGGGTACGAGGGCTGCATGCCGTCCATCATACCCGCACGCCCGACCGCCACGACGGCATTGTCGCCTGTCAGTGTGATCTCGTTGTGCGATACGGTGCAGTTGCGTACATACTCGGACAGGAAGATAGCGTTGCCGCCGACCGCGTCAAACGTACAATTCGTCACCGTACAGTCCGAGGCGTCTTGAATGAAGAACGCGGCGTCGCGATGTATGGACCAATCACCGCCCGACGGCAGCTCGTAGTAATCCAGAAACGTGGTACGCGTTTCAGTGAACGTCAGACCGGCAAAGTGGATGTTCCTGACGGGACGTGAGGAACCGCTGCCACGTAACTGCACTAGACTGGAGTGCTGCGGAGCAATCACTTCAGCATGCTGCAGATCAGCACATTGTGTGGCATTAGGGTAGAAATAGAGTGTTGATGTGTCTGTGTCCAAAAACCACTCTCCCGGCGAGTCCAACTCCTCGGCTATGTTCTCAACGTAGTAATGATTCTTACCAGCATTTCCACCGCGCGCTTCTTGCCAACCACCGTACTTGAAATACAGCTCGTGTTTTTTTGTATTCACGCTGTCAAGCTGTACGTATGTATGAGCACACACATGTGCAGACACACACACATGTTCACACACACACACACACACACACACACACACACACACACACACACACACACACACACACACACACACACACATACACACACACACACACATACACACACACACACACACACACATACACACATACACACACACACACACACACACACACACACACACACATACACACATACACACACACATACACACACACATACACACACACACACACACACACACACACACACACACATACACACACACACACACACACACACACACACACATACACACACACACACACACACACACACACAAACGTGCACCCACACACGTGTACACATGCAGCCGACGGATTCAGACACAGTTTCTGACGGAGACACTGAGTTTATTGTGAGCTGCTTTCCCACTTCTCACCCTGGATCATGATGAACAGGCAGTCATAACATCTAGCCACATACTATGACAACAAAGTACATGTACCGTATCCGACATAGAAATCCGTTGAGAAGTCAAGCGGCCACCACGGGACGTTGGCCTTGCAGCCGCAAGCACTGCACTGCTGTCCCATTTTAACAGAGTATGCGCGTGAACTACAGTGCGTGTGAGCGCTAAAAGCAATGAGGCGCCGGCCCCGATCATCCCATTGAAAGCAATGAGGCGCCGGCCCGGGTCATCCCATTGAAAGCAATGAGGACGCCGGCCCCGGTCATCCCATTGAAAGCAATGAGGGCGCCGGCCCCGGTCATCCCATTGAAAGCAATGAGGGCGCCGGCCCCGGTCATCCCATTGAAAGCAATGAGGGCGCCGGCCCCGGTCATCCCATTGAAAGCAATGAGGACGCCGGCCCCGGTCATCCCATTGAAACCAATGAGGACGCCGGCCCCGGTCATCCCACTGAAAGCAATGAGGCGTCGGCCCCGGTCATCCCATTGAAAGCAATGACCCAGTCCAGCGATGCCATACAACAGCGTGTTATATATCGACCCTGCCCCAAGGGCGGCTGGAATAGGGAACCCAGGAGCAACACCCATATCGTTTAGCGTTACAGGCATGCGTGTCCCCTCCCTCTACGCTAGACTCCCTGGTCTTGACCGGCCGTGGCAGTCTGACCGATTCCTGGTCTTGACCGGCCGTGGCAGTCTGACCGATTCCTGGTCTTGACCAGCCATGGCAGTCTGACCGATTCCTTGCCGCATGACAACTCCCCCGTTACATGACCAACCATTGGTCCCCCCCCCCTTCCCACCCCTCCGCTTCAAACCCATCAAATTCCAAGCGTCATGAGCGTCGGTGACCGAACAGGAGATAGAGATTGCTATATAGGCAGATGTCCTGAATACCCTTGTGTCACGATATTCAGACCCGCAAACACTGGCTCCAAAAGCACTGGCCATGCCACATGACTCATCATTGATGACATAATGCGTAAGCAGGTCACATAACCAATAATTAATGACATCATGCGTAAGCAGCTCACATGACAAACCATTGATGACATCATGTGCAATCAGGTCACATGACAAATCCACATCACATGACCAGCCATTGATGACGTCATGCAAAGCAGGTCACATGACTAGCCCTTGTGACGTTATGAGTAATCAGGTCACATGACAGCTTACCTGAAACATCCAGTTTCCCCAGTACTGAGTGTGGAACATATGAACAACGCGGGTACTGGGATTGCTCCACGATGCCGTCCTGTTGGCCATCTCTGCGCCGTATTTGATTCCCTTTGGGCGATCACGGTATGGATCGTTCCAGAATGAGTAGACGGGCTGAAGTCCGGGCACACCGTCTAGAGCGGAGTACATATGATAGTGGAATGATGGCCAGTGATCATCACCAGTGACATGATGTGGACGAACTGGTTTATCCACACTTATCATCGTGTCACTGGGTGAGGGTGCTGCTGCTGCTGCTGTCTGCAGTGGTAGGTGCGAGTGGAGGTCTTGAGAAGGGTCCAGATCTTCCGCCACGCTACCGTCTATAATGTAAAACAAGTCACACAACCAGAGAGAATAGCAGGGGAATGGAGCTGGTATCATTGCGTTCTAAAGGATAACGAGATTTTCATAATTCACAGTTTGTGTGAGACATGGCTGGAGGTCTGAGTTTTTCACATCCACAGAAACACCATCACTCTCTATGTATCAATGAACAGCTGCAGCAACACCATCACTCTCTATGTATCAATGCACAGCTGCAGGAACACCATCACTCTCTATGTATCAATGCACAGCTGCAGGAACACCATCACTCTCTATGTATCAATGCACAGCTGCAGGAACACCATCACTCTCTATGTATCAATTCACAGCTGCAGGAACACCATCACTCTCTATGTATCAAGACACAGACGTAGCTCCTAAAGCGGAGGGAGGTGAGTTGATCAGACCCACCAAAAAGTGATCAAAGACCTAAAATCCTATTCGCTGCACCCATGAAGCGAGTATTGAGATTACAATAGATACAAATATGTGTTGACGTCGTGTTATCACAGTCTTTTCCAATTCCTCAGTTCTTGTTATGTTCTCCTTGCATTGACAATTCATTTTTATTCTACATGTATAAAGATAGGTGCTGAGCCGTGTAGCATTTTCTTCTGGTATCGGGTTCGGGTAGTTTTCTACGGGTACCACGGGTACCTGATCGGGTAATGTTTCCATGGTAACACCACAATGCACCCCTTCCCTTTCACACTGGGTAGACTTGCAGAGTATGCACACATGTACTGTACATGATGTCATCTGCGACTTTGGGTTTTCGGGTACTATTCTGTACCCGTCTACCCGAGGTCCTCACGGGTAGGACCGGTGCCCGACTACCCGTGCACATCTCTAATACAGATATCGAAACCCAACAGTGGCGTGCCTAATGCTTTTGAAGCCAGTGTTTGCAGGTCCGCATACCATGCTACCCGCTTTTCACGCCATATTATACCAATCTCTATCACCTGTCAGGCCGCCAACGTTCATGACGCTTGGTATTTGATTGATTTGAAGCAGAGCGGGAACCAAGGTAGTGATAAGCAGTACAGTTCCACAATTCACAGTTCACGTGACACTCGTCACACAATGTACTGTGATAACAAGGCTGTGGTAGATTGCATCCGCTCTGGCACATCCAAGTCACCGCCAGTCATGACCCTGCTCAGGGAGCTGTTCTTTGTGTGCACCGGCTTCAATTTCACTGTCACTGCTGCTCACATTGCTGGCCAGTCTAACTGCATTGCCGATTCGCTGTCTCGTTTCCGCATGGAGGAATTCCGGCGTCTCGCCCCAGCTGCTCAAGCACAACCAGACCGAGCAGTGCTGCCATTCCAGTTTATGTGCTACAACCTGGACATACAGGTACCGATTATCATTGCAAAATTGCCGTATTGAGAACCTGCGTTGGATTTCATCCTCTGCATGCCTGCCATAATCCATCTCGTGCCTTAATCACTTCTGTCTTGTTCTTAGCTCTCGTGCATCTTTTAAGATGCACGACAGCTAAGAACAAGACAGTAGTATCCCGTCGGAACCAGTCAAATGGTTTAAAAACCATTTGACTGGTTCCGACGGGATAGCTCCACTAGGAACCAACTCTGCCTTCCTCTAGCCCGCTCTTCTGCCTTGCTACACTCCCCCCTTTTCAATGACTATTTGCATTGGCTTAAGCTGCACCAGGAGACAAAGGGCCTTTCTACTTTAACAGCATTCAGGAACGCCTTGCTTTACAAGTAGACCACAATTTTGCTCCATATTTGCTTCTTTTTTCTTTTCCTTTTCTTTTTGACTTCTTACTCTTTTCCTTGTTAGGCGTGGTTGGCTATAAAAACCCTGCAATCGCCACGCAAAGTGGTCATTGGCTACCCCAGCCATGTATTTCTTGGAGTAAAATAAATAAATAAATAATCCATGTCTTGCCTTAATCACTTGTTCTTAGCTCTCGTGCATTGGCGGTGAACGCTTGCTGGGGTGCGGTGTGCTGGTTTTCTGGGAACAGCTTCCTTCAACTGGTTTCTTTGCTGCTAATATCTCTGCTTAAAATTGCATACTATTGGTCGGCTGTTTGCGACGCCAATCAGTAGTCATTGCACCCGGTCGCGGCTACTATTGCCGCACAAGTATGAGCGATTGCTTTGGCCGTTTGCGAACGCCAATTGCTTCACCCTGGTTGGCTGTTTGCAACGTCGATCAGGAAACTTTGCACCCGGTCGCGGGTACTGCTGCGGCTCAGTCATGAGCGATCACTTCGGCTGTTTGCAACGCCAATCGGTTAACCAGTTGATCGAAACCAGCACACTGGTGTACCCCAATTATCCTTGTGCGGTGTTGTGAGAATACGTGGGTATGCATGCAGCTTTGCTCTGTGACTTTCCATTGCATGTAGTCACTTGGCTCTCCCATTTCCTATACACTGCTCTGATGCATTCCGGTGCAAGCGCTAAAGTAAAGTTTTGTTGGAGTTCAAAGATACATGCTACTGTCTCCGCAACTGCATAATATCTTTACAGCACAATACCACTATGCATCACACAGTACTTTTGCCACACACACACACGCACGCACACACGCGCGCACACACGCGCACACACGCGCACACACACACTACAACACACACACACACACACACACACACACACACACCGTGACCTTTTACACAGACCACACTTCACCATCATAGCGAGTACGGGTACTTACCGAAGGTTGTATCACCAGATCACCGAGCTGATAAACTGCTGTTCAATCCGAGTCGTATGCCTAACAGAATGTCGACTTTACGGGGCCTGTGACGAAATGTCCACTATCGGTCACATAGCCAGTGGAATGTGGACTGTAGGGAATTTATCAAACGAAATGTCCATTCCCTGTGACATTCTCAGCAGAATTTTGACCGTACGGAACTTGTGACGAATTGTCCAGCAACGTTGTGTTGACAGTTGCGTTCCGGGTAGGCCACAAAACTCAGCCTGCCTCGGCTGTACAAACATTGTTTTACCATCTCCAGCTGGTGTTCTACTCTCGACTGTTTGAAACACTAGGAGATAATTGAGTATAGCCAGTCACGGTGTTGTTAGGTAACTGCTGGAATCCACAACTAACGTAATATCACTTGTAGCTGCATGTAGCGGACATTGCAGACCATGTCACATAGAAGGTCACCTCCACACAACAAGAGAGACGGACTCAAACACACAAACCATGTAAACTGGAAAGATGACTTCAACAATTTTGACTTTGCCTTCAGACTCAGATTCAGTCAGAGCACATCATCTGATTGAGTCGTGTCTTGCCATGTAACACGTAATGTGAGTGAAGTGTGAGAAATTGAGGTGTGCTCGAGTAAGTGAAGCGTGTAGATCAGGGAGTCGTATTGGCTTTTACGACTCCCTGGTGTAGATCTACCACAGAGCAGCAGCTGAGCTCGAGTGAGCTAAGTGTGATCGACAAAGCTGAGTTGGAGTGAGCGAAGTGTGAACCGCAGAGCTGAGTTGGAGTGAGCGAAGTGTGAACCACAGAGCTGAGTTGGAGTGAGTGAAGTGTGAACCACAGAGCTGAGTTCGAGTGAGTGAAGTGTGATCTAAAAAGCTGTGTTCGAGTCAGGGAAGTGTGAACCACAGAGCTGAGTTGGAGTGAGCGAAGTGTGAACCACAGAGCTGAGTTGGAGTGAGCGAAGTATGGAATCGAGCATGAGTACGAGGACGAAAGTGCGGAATCGGAGCCCGACGCGCGCTAGCGCGGAGGGCTCCGATTCTAGCACTTGAGTCCGAGTACGAATGCTTTGATACCATTTCTGACATGCATTGCACGAACTACTTCGTACTACTAGTACTACTACATGTAGTACTTCACACATACCTAGTACCTACTCAAGGCACGCACACTAGACCAGACAAGGAACACAACTAGTCGCCAGTTTAGTACTTCAGACATGTTACATAATGACTAATGTACACAGTCACAACACAGAGATAAAACAAGGGCGGTCTAGTCAGCTAAAAACCAGGTCAGTTCAGCTTCTCTTCTTCGCAGTGACTACAGCCTACAGCCTACAGGTGCAGGTGAACATTGCAGTTTGCACCAAACTGAGCTCCGGAAAAGTTGATGGTCTTCGTAGCTTTCTGCATCAGAGACCGTTGGTGAGTTGGGGATTGCACTGTTGGGTCACAAGTTGCGATGTACTCATCAATGTCGGGATCGTGGAACTCAGTCTGCTGCTGTGATCGCTGAACGCTCGTTGTTGGCGCTGTAAGAGCACGGGTAGCAGCATTGGTTGCAGTTGGAGACTCTCCATCCAGAACTGCAGCCATCTCTTTTCTCTTTTGTTCTGAATTCCTAAAAAAAAAAAAAAAACACGCCTAGGCGTGCTCCGATTCAATCGGAGCACGCCTGGGCGTGCTCCGATTGGAAAATCGGAGACCTGCAAGCGCTCACAGGTCTTCAGTGGCTGATTCAAAGCACGGCAAGTCGCGCTAGGATTCGCTGTTGCCATGTCGATTGTCATGTGACATGTCAGAAGTGTGAATCACAGAGCTGAGTTGGAGTGAGCGAAGTGTGAATCACAGAGCTGAGTTGGAGTGAGCGAAGTGTGAACCACGGAGCTGAGTTGGAGTGAGCGAAGTGTGAATCACAGAGCTGAGTTGGAGTGAGCGAAGTGTGAACCACAGAGCTGAGTTGGAGTGAGTGAAGTGTGAATCACAGAGCTGAGTTTGAGTGAGCGAAGTGTGAACCACAGAGCTGAGTTGGAGTGAGCGAAGTGTGAACCACAGAGCTGAGTTGGAGTGAGCGAAGTGTGATCTAAAAAGCTGTGTTCTAGTGAGCTGGTACTGGGTTTGTGTACAAGTGCAAGGTACGGTGTTGGTAAGGGTGTGTGAAAATCAGTGTCAACCAGTACAGGGAGAGCTGAAGGCTTTCACGACACACCCTGCTGTAACTACACGTCACTACATTGTAGCGATACAGATCAACCTGCGTTAGGAAACTGTCAACACTCTCACGCACGCACCCACACCCACCGAACCACACACGAACACACACACACACACACCTTGACCTTGACCTTGATCTTGCCCATTGCGTACGCAATGATAGCGAATTGTCGGAAAGTTCAAGTGAGAACACGAGCGCAGAACTTGGCATGTCGTTTCAGGTCTCCTGTTCGACGAAATGGGCGTCCACAGACACATAGAAGAGGATCAGGAGCGGGCCGTGGCGGTGGGGTGCTACTCGCAACTCGTCTCCAGCCGGGACGATCTTGGCAACTCTCAAGCCAGGTGGTCACGCCGAGTTCCGCCAGGTCAGTTGACACCACATCTCGCCACCTCTTCTTCGGGCCGTGACGAGGACGGGGGCAGGCAGCTCGCCGAACAGCAATTGCTTCGGTGCGCGTGAGTCGTCCATCCTGCCGACGTGACCCAGCCAACGAAGCCGGTGGCGACGGATTATGCGGGTGATATCAGGGTAAACACCGAATGTAGCTGCTAATGTGGCCGTTGAGATCCGATCATCCCACTGTTGACGACGACCGATACCCACAATGGACCGAACTCACTGATGGTGAAACGTGTTTAGCTTCTGGAGGTGGCCTGCCTTGGTGGTCCACGTCTCCGCACCATACAAGAGGGTCGTGAGGACGACAGCCTCATAGACACGCCTCTTGCTGCGAAGCGACAGGGTCTGGTTATCAAAGACAGGAGCTTTGAGGGCTCCGAACACAGCTGAGGCTTTCGCAAGGCGAGAGCGGACATCAGCACAGGCAAGACCATCCGAGGAGAGCACACTGCCAAGGTAGGTGAATTGGTCCACCACCTCAATCGTGTCTGCTCCAACAACAACGTCACGGCGATCAGCAGACTCACCCACAGCCATACCCTTGGTCTTTCTCACACTGACCGTCAGGCTCCAGCTGCTTGCGCATGTGATGAAGCTGGAAGTCATCGCTTCGAAGGCAGGCCGAGATGTTGCGTAGAGTGCAGCGTCGTCAGCAAACTGGGATTCTGTGACCGTTGATGACAGGAGCTTGCCCTTCGCCGTTCGGTCACCTACTAGCTTCCTCCCGACTTTATATCGAAAGGATATGCCAGCGTCCGGACAACTGGACCTCCAACTGGCAACGACGGCAGAGAAGTACAAATTGAAGAGCATTGGTGCGAGAGTGCAGCCCTGACGCAATCCATTCCGCACGGTTATCGGGTCAGTCAGCTTGCCATCCACCCGAACAGAAGCAGTCATGCCGTTGTGGAGTGACTGAATGATGCGGAGCATTGCCGCCGGAACACCAAGCTTTTGGAAAACCTGCCACAGCGCTGCACGCGGGATACTGTCATACGCCTTTCTCAGATCGACGAACAGGACATATGCATCTGAATCATGCTCCAACGTCTTCTCCATCAACTGCCGTGCGACGAACACCATATCGACGCAGCCACGTTCCTTTCTGAAGCCGCACTGATAGTCTGGCAAGACATCTTCAGCGATAGCTTTGAGGCGGTCCTGCAGAATACGGGCAAGCAGCTTGCCGACAACGTCCAACAGACTGATGCCGCGCCAGTTATCACAGTGGTGTAGATCTCCCTTCTTGGGGATGGGCACAACCACTGCATCACGCCAATCATCGACTACAGTGCCTTCGAGCCAGGATTTACGCATGATGGTCAGGATGCGACTGTGTAGGTCTTTGCCACCATGTAAGACCATGTCCGGTAGAATGCCCGACTGACCGCCAGCTTTACCCGCTTTCATGGTCCGCAGTGCAGCCTCCAGCTCACACACACACACACACACACACACACACACACACACACACACACACACACACACACACACACACACACACACACACACACACACACACACACACACACACACACACACACATACACACACACCACACGCACACACACACACAAACACACACACACCTGGTGACCACACACATACACACACACACACACACACACACACACACACACACACACACACACACACACACACACACACACACACACACACACACACATACATACATACACACACACACACACACACACTACTACTACTACTACTACTACTACTACTACTACTACTACTACTACTACTACTACTACTACTACTACTACTACTACTACTACTACTACTACTACTACTACTACTACTACTACTACTACTACTACTACTACTACTACTACTACTACTACTACTACTACTACTACTACTACTACTACTACTACTACTACTACTACTACTACTACTACTACTACTACTACTACTACTACTACTACTACTACTACTACTACTACTACTACTACTACTACTACTACTACTACTACTACTACTACTACTACTACTACTACTACTACTACTACTACTACTACTACTACTACTACTACTACTACTACTACTACTACTACTACTACTACTACTACTACTACTACTACTACTACTACTACTACAACTACTAAAACTACTACTACTACTACTACTACTACTACTACTACTACTACTACTACTGAGAACGTTGACTTTATTTGATAACAAACTGGGTGCCGGAATGAAGAATTCAAAAAACGGAAGCAAAGAAGGCAATGGTGACAAATCCAATCAAGTATATCGTAGATAGGAAAATCAAATTAAATAAATCGGAAAATCCAATAAGAAAATATAATAAAAGAATCAAGTCAACTATCGAATACCAAAACAAAGAGTAAACTTGCATCCGCAAACACAATCAAAGCAGCACCGTTTACCCAACTCATCCAACAACCCAGACAAGAGAAAACCAGATAAGGTGCACAAAGAAAACGGGCAAGTCAACCATCAAATCATGACCAACATATAATAGCAAAATTGCTACAACAAAAATACAGACAATATCATGAAACAGTTAGGTCAGGCATGCTAAACAGCCAGGTGGGCACGGGCCCTACACTCCACCACAAAACCGCCATGACCAGTACCCATGAGCCTTCGGCGGTACGAGTGCCGTGACCCCCGCAGACAAGTTATTTGCCAGCGAATCAGGCACACACTGATCCGGGCACGAAGCTGGCGCATGATCAGTGAGTAGGGGAGATCACGGTTCCTCTCACTGATTTGAGCTGCTAACGACTTCAGGAATATTGACGCCTCCGGCGCACACTGCCCATTGGTGGCGAAAACCAACGGCGTGAACGAACCGCGGTCGACGTTGTTGATCCGGCTCTAGTACTGGCGCTTCTTCTGCCTCTCGTTGTCAGACAACTGGCTCGCTACTCCCGAACGCGACAGCAAAGACGGCCTTGGGTGGGTAACCCGAACATCAAAGAAGGCGTTTTGCTG